AGGGTTTATGTAGGGCAGCTAAGAACCTAAGGCCTTTAAGAGTTGTTATAAAATAGTGTTACTAGAGTAGAGAAGAAATTTGTAGGCTGTATAGTGCCTTTTAAAGCTTTAGTATTGTACCTAGTTTCTAATAGCCTCTTAGCATCCGCATGTAGATATCGCGGTTGATTGCTGCATGTACAAACGCGTTAGTTACGTTGTATTGTTTAAGCTCTAGGTTAAAGCGTGCAGATATTACTATTAGCATTTAAAATAAGCGTCCTGCTAGGGTGGCAGCGTAGGTATCTTGTGTAGTAATGTTTCTCTGTTAATTGCTGTAGACTACTAGTTGCGCTTTGCATCTTTGTAATCTGTAGTGCTTATTAAGCTTATAGGTGTACACCTACATATAATCTAGAATCTGCTGTCCGGCTGCCTTAATTAGCTTTGTCTAGACCTCTGTCTAGGATTTTATTGTCTAATAACTGTCTAGGTGCGTTCTTTCTGCTGCTTTAAACATCTTATGTAGAGAGTGCTCCTCTAGTTGCTTTTAGGTTAATAGCAGAGGTAGCAGCTAGCTTCTATAAGGTGTCTTCCTTTTAGATAGCATTCTTATTAATGCTGCTTTATCTAGCGTCTTACTGCTATGCTTTCCTACACTTCTAGATCTTATACTAGCTATAAAGGCTGCAGCCTATAGTACAGTCTTTAACAACCCTATTTGGCTTAGCTTTAGTGCTGCTCTAGCTATTAACTGCATAAGCAATGCTGCAGGTAGCAGAGTGTTTAGAGAAGACAGATAGTTATCTCTAATCTTCCTTCTCTAATAGTAGCCTAGTAGGTCTACTTTGTTAAAATTTAATGTATTGTCTGTAGTGTTGTCTTTATAGAACAACTCTGTCTTTAGCTAATAACTAGGTGTTAGAAGCTTAATTATTCTAATGTATATAGCAATTTCCTTTACTGTATTATGCATAAGGTTATTTATTAAGTCTTTAGGCTTACTGCTAAAGATTAAGTGTTTGTTAAAAATAACATTACGTGTACAGATTACTTTTACTAGCAGTGGTATCTATACACAGTAGATGTTTAACAATTAGTACCTAACTAGATATCTAATCCACGCCTTTAGGTTTAGCCTCTGTAGCCTAGATTTGTTCTAATGCGTGTTATTAGTTATTATAAATGCTTTACAGCTATAGGCTCTTAGATGTGTAAAGCTTAGCTTTTAAATTAATATAACAACTCTATTATTTAGAGCTGCTTATGTAAAGAAGATCTTGTATAGTGTCTTCTAGTTGTTAGCATAGTTTAGCGTCTAATTGTATAGGTATACGCCGGCTCTAGTGATGTATAGCCATACGTTCTATAGTAGGTTAGCATCTAGTTGCATAGCCTGTGACTTCTTCTTGTTCACACCCTCTAAGCGTTTAGCTCCTCTGTTCTAGGCTTGTGTATCTAGTGCTAAAGGCTTAACAGTTATTCTATGTAATGCTAGCCAGCGTTCTACCTCTAGTTTTACTGTTGTAATCTTATTATTAGCTTTAATAACTTTTATAGTAATGTTATAATAGTTCTTTAGAAAGAGGATAAAGATTATAAAAGCTTTAATAATTAATTTAGTAGGCCTGTTGTTCTTAAAGTAAAGGTCCTACTAA